TAGGTTTTAAAAGAATCCATTTGACTGATGTTTTTTTTTTTATTCAACTTTGTATGTGTAGATTTCCCTTTTAGCTAAATCAAACTTGTCTGCCCCCAAAATTCAAGTGTCCTATGTAATCAGTTATTTTTGTCCCTCTGGATCAAGTGCAGTGATCTTTGATGTATGAATTTGAATTTCATTCTCACTTCCATTATTAAAGCAATAAAATTATCACCTCAAGAAAACTACTTGTTACAAATATTAGTCCTATTTATGATCCAATCAGCTTGCCTACATTTTAGTTCTCCTTATTCATAGTAATAACCAAGGTGTTCCAACAGTTTTGTTCATAAGATAAATCAACTAGATATTTCCCTTGTTATTATTGCCACTCTACTAAACAATATCCTAAGAAAACTTTGCTTATTGAGAAGAGCTTTCCACTTGAGGTCACTCTCTTTATTGGCCTTTGATTGGTTTGTATTTGTTCACCATGCCACTCCAGAGTTAGACAAGATCTACTTTTCTATATAAACCTACATTTTGCTTCCTGGAATCTTTCTTACATTCCATCTTGACATTATTTCCATTTCTCTGAGAGAACAATGCTTCTGCCTATTAATTTTGTATGGCCTCTAAGGTAATAAATGGAAATATGATCAATTAAACTTTGGTTATGTGATTAAAATCAGCTTGGTTTTAAAAAAAAAAAAAAAAACAACTCGGCATGACCATTTTTATATATAGTATCACTTATATACAAGGATCATATTGTAAAGACTAAAGTGAAAGTCGGATCAGGAAACATCTTAAAGAAGCTGGCTAACACCAAATTGGGTGTCTATGCCAATACAATCCACACCACGGTCTTTGCCCTTTGCTACTCAATGGCACAGTATGCCTCAACAGTATGGAGTGGATCACACTTTTTTTTTTTTTTTTTTTTTTTACTAGTGTCCAAGGGGTTACAGAGAATGAAGGTAAGAGAAAGCTCTGGATATATGGTGAATTGAGGAAAGGATAAAAAAAAAGTATCAAGGCATCAAAAGATTACAATTGATGTTACATTTCAAGTTTTGAAGATTGTAGTTATCAGGGAAGCAAGTAAGAGGAAGAGAGTCCCACTGTCAGGAAGTGCAAGAGAAGCTGTTGGAGTAGAAGAGGCAGTTACATTTAACTGTTTCAACAGTAAAAATGGTAGGACCTAGTAGCACACTTAAATTCTCCAGGGAAAATAGCTCATGAGAGCAGTTGCCATGAAAATATTTGTAGAAAAGACAGGGAAGCCACATCATGTCTGTGAGAAAGTGACTAGAATCGAGGTGCCAAGTCAGGACTGATCACATTGCAGACCAGTCTTTGGATTTTGTTGAGAACCTTGAGATGAACAGCAAGGGCACCAGACCATATATGACAGCAGTAGAATGGTAGATTTGTAGATGTGAAGAATGGACTTGGACAAGAAAAACCTTCTGTCATGACACAGAGAAGTAACTTTTTTTGTGGTAGATACAGCTATTAATTCAATGTAGTTGTTCTACCTCAGCTCAGTGAAAAATATAAGGCAGTGAGGTGCTCTTATGAAGTCGAGCATCAACCATGCTGATAGTGGGCAGGGAAATTTCTCTATGGTAGTAAAATAAAAGCAGTTTTTGTTTTGGTGGCATTAAAATTTACAAGCCATTTCCTGCCCCAATAAAAAATAAACCCTGCCTTAAATGCCACTTGCAGATCAATCACTGGGTGTCTCAATCCAGCCAAAAAGGATGACCTCTATTTGCTTAGTAGCATTGCTCCCTCTTACTTCAGAAGGACAGTCCACTCCCAACTTGAAGTTGAAGCAGAAAACTGACTCCTGTCATCCACTCAATAGCTGTGAACCAATGACAAAGAGGCTAAAGTCAAGACACAGCTTTCTACATTCAGTCAAACCACTGAACAACAGTTCCTAGTCAACATCTGTTTCTGTGGTGCAACCATCTTAACAATGTGGACACAGGCTCTCACTAACTCACTCACTCCCCAGTGGTGCCTGGTTCTTCTGATCCTGTCTGAATTGCCTCCAAACAGCTGTAGAAATGGGGATATATCACCAATGATTATTCCAATTACCAATGTGGGCAATTATAAACTATGGAGCATCTTCTAGTTTGCCCCAATCTTGATTCATGCACATTTATCGGCCTTGAAACCCTAACAAGCTAGGCTTTGTGTGTAGCAATGGATGGGTGTAGTATGGCAACTCAATAATAATATATATATATATATATATATATATATATATTCCATAAACTATAACTGTTCACTTGATATTTGTTTTCAATATTTTGAAACATCTTTAGTCTCAAGGCTCCAATAATACTAACTCCTGATATATTTTAGATGAAATTCTTGACATTTGTATTGACTATAAATTTATCAGATGTGTAGGTATTTCAAGGGAATCAACTCCTCAGCACTCAAGTTTGATTTTGAAATTTTTTTTTAAATAATTAAGAATACAATCTTAAATACTGACCATGTTTCATGATATTCTATAAAACCCGATTCTACTTTGTAGCATTTAAGACCAAAATGCTGGGGACATTAGAATTTGCAAGTAAATAAATGTCTTGTTTGTTTGTTTTTCCATTCTTGTACTGAAAATGTTAAGATTCACATAGGTATGATATTGCAGAAGCTGAAACATACAATGATTTTGTCTCTGGGGAATTGCATTCTTTCCATGTTTTTTTTTTTTTTTTTTTTCCCTATAATCAACACCCATTTCAACCGAGTCTCCCACTTTTATAACTACCTTTCTCTCTGCCATTTGTAATTCAGTTCTGTAATTTTTTTAGATTGTTAATCTGTCCCTCCTTTGTATTAAGCAATCAGAAGTTGCAACCAGTCACCACTTTCTCCACACCAACATCCAATAACAGTCTCAATGTCATTCTAATGATTACCTAGGCAATTTGAGAATCAAGAAAATATCTACAAGCTAGATATTCTCTATAAATGATGTTAGTGTATCTTAGGTAAAGTTAATAAACAGCTTGGCTCATCTGCTAAATTCTATAAATGTTGAATTCAGTTTTCCTCTTTGCAGACAGATTTCAAGCCAATATATGCTTTTGGGGTGAAATAGTAAAGCTATAGACAGTTCTTGCCTGTACATTTTAAATATTGAGTAAATTAGCAATAGTGACTTCTACCAATCATACATTAGTGCAATATCCTTCTTGCTTGTGTCTCCTGCAACCTTTGTTATAATCATCAGTTCTTACTGTGATTATTGCTTCTTTTGCAGTAAATACCATTTCTGTCTTTTTATTGCTATAAATCATGTTTTATTGATATAATTCCTTAATCGAGCCTCAAATTTGTGGATTGTTGAAATTAAAACTTTTCAATATCAAGTCAGAGGGTTTTTAAGATACTAAAAATGTTTCCTTAAAAGATAAGTCACAAAATGCTGTAACTTGGTGAAAAAAGTTGATTATGTATTTTTGTCCTTTGCTTAAAGATAAAGGAATGTATTATTTTTGGAGTTGCCTCAAGATAGTTCACTCCAGTTGATAGATTTTGGTCAGGTCAAGCTTGTACAATTTCTTCTTTTTTGTCATAGAAAATATGAAGAATTCTCCAGCTGTCTAGCTGTTTGATAGTTTGGGAAATTGTAGCACTTCGATTCATATTCATTTTAAATCTGTAGATGACACTAGATTTTTTTGCCTTTCTTAATTCTTTCAGTTACAGTTCTCTACAGATGAGGATGAATTCTGTTCATTTTTAAAGACAATAAACAAAAGAACAGTTTGCAGCAGAAAATGTTCCTTTTTGTTTTCCTCTTTTGCTTTTTTCTTTTCCTTTTTATTCCCCCTCTTGTCTTTTATATTTTCCTTTTTATTCCCCCTCTTGTCTTTTATATTTTCCTTTTATTCCCCTCTTGTCTTTTATATATTTTCCTTTTTATTCCCCCTCTTGTCTTTTATATTTTCCTTTTTATTCCCCCTCTTGTCTTTTATATTTTCCTTTTTATTCCCCCTCTTGTCTTTTATATTTTCCTTTTTATTCCCCCTCTTGTCTTTTATATTTTCCTTTTTATTCCCCCTCTTGTCTTTTATATTTTCCTTTTTATTCCCCCTCTTGTCTTTTATATTTTCCTTTTTATTCCCCCTCTTGTCTTTTATATTTTCCTTTTTATTCCCCCTCTTGTCTTCTTTTTCTATTTGCTTCCACATTTTGTTTTTTTTTCTTTTCTTTTGTTTTTCTTTCTTTTTTTTCATTTTTGTCCCTTTTTTCCATTTTTGTCTTTTTTCCTTTATTTTTGTCTTTTTTTTTCTTTTTTTTGTTTTTTTTCTTTTTTTTTGTCTTTTTTTTCTTTATTTTTGTCTTTTTTTTCTTTATTTTTGTCTTTTTTTTTCTTTATTTTTGTCTTTTTTTTTATTTATTTTTGTCTTTTTTTTCTCACCCACTCAAATGTTGAAGGGCAAGCAACTTCTTCATTTTTGAGCCCAAGTCTTCATATTTATGAAAAGAATTTGTCCTTGTTTTTATGATTGTGAATATAAAAGTTCCACAAAGACTGTTTCTCTGTTGCTTTATTTAAGATTTGGCTCAATGTTATAACATTTGAACATTTACTGGCCAGTTTGTATTGAAGCCTCCATTTTAAAAGCAAATTTTGCACTGTTGTAATTCCATTGCCATATTAGTCAGTCTATAATGGTTGAGTTGGTTGAGATGTTTCTTCAATTGTTTAAATACAGCCCTTAAAGAAATCATTCTTGTATACTATTTGGCTCAGTCCTGTAATTTACAAATCTGAAATGTTCCATTTTTGCATGCATTTTAAAGATTTTACTGCTTCTCTATCTCTCCAGGCACATCACTTTTTGTCTCATCATCTCTTGGGCACAGATTTAAGCAGCAATAAAATTAAAACTATCTTTTTACTTGTCTCTTCTAATTAATTAATGTCTTATCTTGAATCTGTCTTACTTGAGAAGAATTTGAAATGAACTTCTATCAACATGGGCTTTGCTGATAACAAACTTGATTTTCAAAGCAGAAAACGTCTTTCTTCTCTCTTCTACGGTATCATTGGTATTCATACTAGTCTTTACTTTTTACTCTTTATTTTTTTGTGCACAAAGTGAAAGCTCAGGTTTCTTTCAGGGTTTTGTTAAAATAAACTAACTTAAAAATCAGCATTTCATTTGCTTTTACATCCTCTTCAGTATATATCTAGAAGTAAAGTAGATATTATATAGTTGTTCTCATCTGAAATACAATAGATTTATAATCAGTCTTTTGCTTATTGACACAGTAACCCCTAAAGCAACTTCTTCTAAATCGGCTATATATGATGGCAATTTGAGATTGAAAATCTTTATGTCACTATTTCTCCCACAGTTTATGTTAATATATAGTTTTCTTATAGTTTATTGGTTTTTCTCTGATCTACAGATACAGAAGGGATTGAATGGTTAAAGAAAAGGAAGGAAAACATGTCAAAATGTTTTCTGATTCATTTTTTTTTTCTATCTTTTTTAGCTATTATCTCTGTATTCTCTTTATACTTATCTGAGGAAAAATACACATATGGTTAACTCATAATATTGTATCTGTTCTTATTTACTTTATATCACATAATCTATAAGAATCTGCTTATTTACATTATTGAAAATAGCAACAATGAAAACTTGATGGCAAACAAAGCAAAACCTGATGAGAATATTTTTCTCTTGCCAAGCTGTCATCTCGTTGTTGTACTTAATATAATTGGCAGTAACAGAAAAGATTGTGTTATTTGATGATGGAAATGTGTAGCAACTGGTTTCAAAGAATTTTTCACTTCAGTATCCAAATTGATCCTTATTGATTCTCTTGATGCTCTTTATGTTTAAAATGAAATTCATCATATCTAATTTGACATTTTCTTTTCCAATCAATTAAACTGAACTAAAATAGTTTTATAATTTTAAAAAAAATGACTCCCAAATTTCTTGTGTATTTTGTTAAACACCATTTCTTATTTATTCCAAGATAATCTCTCCATTTCTAAGAGTTTTGTTGGCTGTTCTGTACTGAAGGTTGCTTTGTTAATCATTTCCTCAGAAGGATACTAATTGTAAAATTGATTAATAGATGAAATATCATCAGGCCTTCTTTGCCTGAAATAGAACCGCTTTCTTTTTCAGTGTGTGAGGAAAGCAACAATTCTTGCCTTCACTAATTAACGCATTTTCTCTTAAATTAGCAGCTAATTCAATTCTGATTTATTTGTTTTTTTCCTTAAATTTCTTGATTTTATTTTATTTTTTTTTTTTTAAGTAATTCAAGCAAAAATAATTTCATTTTCTGATTCCTTCAAATTTCCTTATATACTAGGCACAGATTCACTGTTGAAATTCTCAGTAGTGCCAATTGCTGGGGATTTGTAGAATAGAATTGGGCTTTGGTCAAGTAACTCAAAATACCTGTAAAATTTTCATGATTTTCCTCTTTTAATTTTCTGATGAATCCTAATTCTTAAGGTTAACGATTGAAAAAGCTCCTTGAAAGTTCTACTACTATAAAATTCCTATTGCATTGTTAAATATTTGGGCATAACAACTTTAACAAAATATTGCAAGAACAATTGTAAGTATAAATTATTATTTAAAGAGGTAAGAGGATACAAATTAAAAAAAAATTAAGTCTGACAAGTTTTTTTTGTGCAATGAAGCAAATGTAAAAGCACATAAAAGCATTATCTCTATCTATCTATCTATCTATATATATATATATATATATATATATATAGTGTAAGTGTATATCTCCATGACTCGATATGTTAGCTCTATCACTGATATTGAGTGCTTTCCAATAAGTAGTACCATGCATATATATATATATATATATATATATATATAAATTATTATTTTATATATATATATATATATATATATATATATATTATCACACATATATATATATATATATATATATATATATATAGAGAGAGAGAGAGAAATTATTATCTTTATATATAAATATATATATATATATAGAAATTATTATCTTATATTTATATAAACCATACAGTGTTTCTGATATATCTTTTCTAGCTTTCCTTGAAATTAAAACCAAATAGTTTTTTTCATTGGGTATTGGCAAGGTACATTATACTTGTTAACTAGGATCAACCAAAATTATAAAATAATAAATAATAATGTTTGAATTATTTCCCTTGGTAACTAACCCTCTATAAAAGTAAAATAATAATAAGGGTGTATCACTACTGGATGGCCTTATAATGGCTTCTTGCTTTAGAAAGAAAAGACCTCCGATATAATAATAAATCTTTTAATTGCATTTTAAGTAAAAATGAAAATACTTTCAAAATAACGCAGTAGTAGCAAATAAGCTTGACTAAATGTGTTTTTTTTGTTGTTGTTGTTTTATTAGATGATGTTGACTGAAACTAAAGAATAAAAGAAACAAGTGATGTAGTTGAGCAACAGCATTGGGATGAGCGATTTCCTAATGTTCTATAATAGATTTATCATGCAGCTTCTTTGTCATATTTTCTTTTTTGTTCTTTTATAAAAAAAAAAGAGTGTTTTTTTCTCTCTCTCTCTCTCTCTCTTTCTCTCTCTCTCTCTCTCTCTCTCTCTTTCTCTCTCTCTCTTCTCTTCTCTTCTCTTTCTCTCATTTTATCTCTCTTCTGATCTCACTCTCTCTCTCTCTTTCTTCAGGCATTTTATACTGCCTTATTTATTTATGTTTATTTGACAGCACACAGATACTTGCTTCCCTTTTCTTTCCTTGGGTGCTTGTTTTTTGTTTTCTTTTTTCCTTTTCTTTTTGTTTTTAATTGAAATATTGTTCTTTTGTTTCCAAAAATAAGAACTTTACTTGATGCTTTCCTATGGCAACAGCTATCATCTTGGTGTTGATTGGATAATACTAGTGGGTGGCAGTGGTTGCTGCTGCTACCATCAAGTAGGCAAAAATCTCAGTTAGGGGAAATAGTGATGCAGAAAATTTAAAACATATAAAGAGATACCCCCAACAAACAGAAAAAGCTTTACACAATCACTGAAAATGAACCCTTTGGAAAATTTTGGTTGTATATTCATATTTTAGGTTCTAATGATAAAAAAAATCATTTAATTTACTAATGTACTTCTTATCCAACTTTCTATACTGATTTTGGACTTTGGTTATAATCATAGCCTTTATTTCTTGATCTCTGTACATCATTCTTATCAATATTATTGACCTCCAGCTATTTTGAAGATCTTTGTTATTTTCAAGCAATTTACTCTGCCCTTTCTTCAAAGAATCTTTTATTCTAACCAAAAATACCTTAGCCTTATCTTTCATCCTTGATTGTGTCTTCAGAAAGCGTTTCCCTTTAGGTCTTTCTAAAGAATTGGAAATCATTTTTTTTTTTAATCCTATTAAGACAGCTGTTGGCAATATCCTGTTGCTGAAATTCTTTCAATTCTCTCTGATTCATCACCTCTCAGTGAGATGAGAATTATTGAGAAATCTGACAGATCAAAATAAATAGTTTGTTCCTATGTCTTACAGATATGTCAGTGACCTCTTGCCAAAAATGCTCAGCATTGGGGATGAGGGACATTGAAGACTGTTTAGAAAAGATTTAAAACAAGAATATATAGTAAAAATTTATGAGTAATATATTTATATATTTTCATTATCCATCAAGTATTATGGCCTCAAACCTTAAATCAAACAAAATCTTAAATGAAAAGTCAATAAATTTGAATATTCTCTATCTTTTAAGTGATTGCAAGTATTGTTGCTTGCTTTTCAACATTACCATATCAGATCTTTTACTACTTTCAGATATGAACCAATGACTTTGAAGTTGGACTTCTTTTCCTAACTACTTCTTAAATTTTATTCTCATTTACCTTCCCAGCTGCCCTCTATATAGCAGCAGAAGATGTGTTAGAGAATATTTTAAAAAAATCTGCCACTTCATTAATCAAGGTGACTAACTTTCTTTGTAATCATATTGACTTTTGGGAAGATAATGTAATCATGTCGGTGAGAAAAGAAGCACTTTAACTACTAAAAGCATTAAAAGATGATGTTTTGGTAGGCGTTATCATTTTGTCTCCTGAGAGTAAAAGTCAGGATTTGGATTTGGGAACTCTTTGATGAAAGAATACAGAAAGTTTCTAACATTTGCCTTGGGACATTTCCGACATTCTGACACAAAATACCAGTTATTTTTTTTTCTCTCACTGTCTCATTTTCTCTCTCAGATTCTTTCTCTCTCTTGTACTCTCTCTGAAATTCTGTCTCTCTCTCTCTCTCTCTCTTGTGCTCTCTCTGAAATTCTGTCTCTCTCTCTCTATCTCTTGTACTCTCTCTGAAAATCTGTCTCTCTATCTCTTGTACTCTCTCTGAAAATCTGTCTCTCTCTTTCTGGTGCTCTCTCTGAAATTCTCTCTCTCTCTCTCTCTCTCTCTGGTGCTCTCTCTGAGATTCTGTCTCTCTCTCTCTCTCTCTGGTGCTCTCTCTGAGATTCTGTCTCTCTCTCTCTCTCTCTCTCTCTGCTCTCTCTGAGATTCTGTCTCTCTCTCTCTCTCTCTCTGGTGCTCTCTCTGAGATTCTGTCTCTCTCTCTCTCTCTCTGGTGCTCTCTCTGAGATTCTGTTCTCTCTCTCTCTCTCTGGTGCTCTCTCTGAGATTCTGTCTCTCTCTCTCTCTGGTGCTCTCTCTGAGATTCTGTCTCTCTCTCTCTCTGGTGCTCTCTCTGAGATTCTGTCTCTCTCTCTCTCTCTGGTGCTCTCTCTGAGATTCTGTCTCTCTCTCTCTCTGGTGCTCTCTCTGAGATTCTGTCTGTCTCTCTCTGGTGCTCTCTCTGAGATTCTGTCTGTCTCTCTCTGGTGCTCTCTCTGAGATTCTGTCTGTCTCTCTCTGGTGCTCTCTCTGAGATTCTGTCTGTCTCTCTCTGGTGCTGTCTCTGAGATTCTGAGATTCTGTCTGTCTCTCTCTGGTGCTCTCTCTGAGATTCTGTCTGTCTCTCTCTGGTGCTCTCTCTGAGATTCTGTCTGTCTCTCTCTCTCTCTGAGAGATGAGATTCTGTCTGTCTCTCTCTGGTGCTCTCTCTGAGATTCTGTGTCTGTCTGATTCTCTCTCTCTCTGGTGCTCTCTCTGAGATTCTGTCTGTCTCTCTCTGGTGCTCTCTCTGAGATTCTGTCTGTCTCTCTCTGGTGCTCTCTCTGAGATTCTGTCTCTCTCTCTGGTGCTCTCTCTGAGATTCTGTCTCTCTCTCTGGTGCTCTCTCTGAGATTCTGTCTCTCTCTGGTGCTCTCTCTGAGATTCTGTCTCTCTCTCTCTCTCTCTGAGATTCTGTCTCTCTCTCTCTCTCTCTGAGATTCTGTCTCTCTCTCTCTCTCTCTCTCTGGTCTCTCTCTGAGATTCTGTCTTCTCTCTCTCTCTCTGGTGCTCTCTCTGAGATTCTGTCTCTCTCTCTCTCTCTCTCTCTCTCTGAGATCTCTCTCTCTCTCTCTCTGAGATTCTGTCTCTATCTCTCTCTCTCTCTCTCTCTCTGAGATTCTGTCTCTCTCTCTCTCTCTCTCTCTCTCTCTCTCTCTGAGATTCTGTCTCTCTCTCTCTCTCTCTCTCTCTGGTGCTCTCTCTGAGATTCTGTCTCTCTCTCTCTCTCTCTCTCTCTCTGGTGCTCTCTCTGAGATTCTGTCTCTCTCTCTCTCTCTCTCTCTCTCTCTGCTCTCTCTCTGAGATTCTGTCTCTCTCTCTCTCTCTCTCTCTCTCTCTGAGATTCTGTCTCTCTCTCTCTCTCTCTCTCTCTGGTGCTCTCTCTGAGATTCTCTCTCTCTCTCTCTCTCTCTCTCTCTCTCTCTCTCTCTCTGATGCTCTCTCTCTCTCTCTCTCTCTCTCTGGTGGTCTCTCTGATTCTGTCTCTCTCTCTCTCTCTCTCTCTCTCTCTGAGATTCTGTCTCTCTCTCTCTCTCTCTCTCTCTGCTCTCTCTCTGAGATTCTGTCTCTCTCTCTCTCTCTCTCTCTCTCTCTCTCTCTCTCTCTGAGATTCTCTCTCTCTCTCTCTCTCTCTCTCTGGTCTCTCTCTCTTCTCTCTCTCTCTCTCTCTCTCTCTCTCTCTCTGTCTCTCTCTCTCTCTCTCTCTCTCTCTCTCTCTCTGGTGCTCTCTCTCTCTCTCTGTCTCTCTCTCTCTCTCTCTCTCTCTCTCTCTCTCTCTCTCTCTCTCTCTCTCTCTCTCTCTCTCTCTCTCTCTCTCTCTCTCTCTCTCTCTCTGAGATTCTGTCTCTCTCTCTCTCTCTCTCTCTCTCTGAGATTCTCTCTCTCTCTCTCTCTCTCTCTCTCTCTCTCTCTCTCTCTCTCTCTGAGGTCTCTCTCTCTGAGATTCTGTCTCTCTCTCTCTCTGAGATTCTGTCTCTCTCTCTCTCTCTCTCTCTCTCTGATTCTGTCTCTCTCTCTCTCTCTCTGGTGCTCTCTGAGATTCTCTCTCTCTCTCTCTCTCTGGTGCTCTCTCTGAGATTCTGTCTCTCTCTCTCTCTCTCTCTCTCTGGTACTCTCTCTGAGATTCTGTCTCTCTCTCTCTCTCTGGTCTCTCTCTCTGATTCTGTCTCTCTCTCTGGTGCTCTCTCTGAGATTCTGTCTCTCTCTCTGGTCTCTCTGAGATTCTCTCTCTCTCTGGTGCTCTCTGAGATTCTGTCTCTCTCTGGTGCTCTCTCTGAGATTCTGTCTCTCTCTCTGGTGCTCTCTCTGAGATTCTGTCTCTCTCTCTCTCTCTCTCTCTCTGCTCTCTCTGAGATTCTCTCTCTCTCTCTCTCTCTCTGAGATTCTCTCTCTGTCTCTCTCTCTCTCTCTGGTGCTCTCTCTGAGATTCTGTCTCTCTCTCTCTCTCTCTGGTGCTCTCTCTCTCTGAGATTCTGTCTCTCTCTCTCTCTCTGAGATTCTCTCTCTCTCTCTGATTCTGTCTCTCTCTCTCTCTCTGAGATTCTGTCTCTCTCTCTCTCTCTCTCTCTCTCTCTCTCTCTCTGGTGCTCTCTCTCTCTGATCTCTCTCTCTCTCTCTGGTGCTCTCTCTGAGATTCTGTCTCTCTCTCTGGTCTCTCTCTCTCTCTCTCTCTCTGGTGCTCTCTCTCTCTCTCTCTCTGGTGCTCTCTCTGAGATTCTCTCTCTCTCTCTGGTGCTCTCTCTGAGATTCTGTCTCTCTCTGGTGCTCTCTCTGAGATTCTCTCTCTCTGGTGCTCTCTCTGAGATTCTGTCTCTCTCTGGTCTCTCTCTCTCTCTCTCTGGTGCTCTCTCTGAGATTCTGTCTCTCTCTCTGGTGCTCTCTCTCTCTCTCTCTCTCTCTCTGGTGCTCTCTCTGAGATTCTGTCTCTCTCTGGTGCTCTCTCTCTGATTCTGTCTCTCTCTGGTGCTCTCTCTGAGATTCTCTCTCTCTCTCTGGTGCTCTCTCTCTGATTCTGTCTCTCTCTCTCTGGTGCTCTCTCTGAGATTCTGTCTCTCTCTCTCTCTCTCTGAGATTCTGTCTCTCTCTCTCTGGTGCTCTCTCTCTGAGATTCTGTCTCTCTCTCTCTCTCTCTGAGATTCTGTCTCTCTCTCTCTGCTCTCTCTGAGATTCTGTCTCTCTCTCTCTCTCTGAGATTCTGTCTCTCTCTCTGGTGCTCTCTCTGATTCTGTCTCTCTCTCTCTCTCTCTGTCTCTCTCTCTCTCTCTCTGCTCTCTCTCTCTCTCTCTCTGGTGCTCTCTCTCTGTTCTCTCTCTCTCTCTGTCTCTCTCTCTGAGATTCTGTCTCTCTCTCTCTGAGATTCTGTCTCTCTGGATTGTCTCTCTCTCTGAGATTGTCTGAGATTCTCTCTCTACTCTCTCTGAGATTGTCTCTCTGGTACTCTCTCTACTGTGCTCTCTCTCCGTATTCTCTCTCTACTGTGCTCTCTCTCCATATTCTCTCTCTTTCCCATATTCTCCCCCTTCCCCACTGTACTGTCTCTCGCTGTCTCTTTCTCGCTCTGTCTCTCTCTTTCGCTCTGTCTCTTTCTCGCTCTGTCTCTCTCTTTCGCTCTGTCTCTCTCTTTTTCTGTCTCTCTCTTTCGCTCTGTCTCTTTCTCGCTCTGTCTCTCTCTTTCTCTCTCTCTTTCGCTCTCTCTCTCTTGTTATCTCTCTCTCTCTCTCTCTCACGTTCTCTCTCACCCCGTTTCTCTCTCTTTTTATTACCTCGCTCTCTCTCGCTGACTGTCTCTTGTTCTCCCTTTCTCTCGCTGGCTATCAAGCTCGTCTGATAAATTCACTGGGTATCTCATTTCTATGCCCTTCTACCATACTAAACTTAATTTAATAAACATAACTATTTTTTAAGTATAATTTTTTATGGGATGCCTGGTGGCTGGGAAATGATTAAAATGTTAGTTCACATTTTTTTTGTTTTTATACAGGTGGGAAAATATTGATGAGGTCACACATTTTAGGATTTATACACAAAAATGCACCCCCCTTTTTCTTTAATCTATTTAGATCAGCATACTTTCCTTTCATCAACAGGTAACACTGCAATTGCTGCTCAGACTGATTTCCAGAGATTTCTATTTTAAATCTGTGATCAGCTTCAGGCTACTTAGAAAACTAGAGCAACCATTGTGTGAAGTGATTTAGTGCACACTGTTGCCTGAATAGGATCAGAGAACAGGAGTTGATTGTTGTAAATCAACTCCTTATTATTATCCATGATGCCTCATTTTGAAAATATCCTCAAAATAATTAGGCCATCATTCTCTCTATCTATTTGAAATTTACAACTCACCAACATTGTTTTATTATCTCTGTCCTCATGTTGACATTTGCTTTAGATATTTTGTCTGTCATAATGATCTGGCCACGAATTGCATGATTGTTACTGTATTGGACCAGAGAAATGGCCTGATCTTCTATTCATTACACCCACTCATTGTCTACAAATATATTTTGCAAAATGCCCCCTCTCATTCTTGCTCTCACACACACTCACACATACAGAAAAAAGTGTGCAGACATGTAATTTTAGAAGGATTTTCATCTTAAACTGTCACTGTTTATACAGTGACAATCTGATTCATATTCACCACTGAATTAAGTGCATTGACAAGGAAGATTATGTTTGAAAGTAATAAAATGCTTTTTTTTATCATTAGGCTACTGCATTATTGATGTATTTTTGTATGTACACCATAAACATTTTTTCCTTTCAGCTGTTCTCTCAACTATTGTTTTATCTATTTATTGAAGATTAGCAATTGTCCCCCAAATATGGATAGCAAACTTTCAGCCTGAGCCGAAATTCTAGAGTTCAAAAAACAACTTTGTTACTAGTTTATGAAATTTTCATTTTTCCATATTTATAGTGAGCTTTAAATTTCCCCTCAAACTGTTTACTTTTCCCATTCATCATGAAACTGATTTCCAAAGAGGTAAACACATTGCTTTTAATTGGCATTAAGTGTTAAAGTAATAATGGGAGAGAGGTTTTCACAGGTGTTCAGTTTATTTGATTCCTATTGTGGTATGGTATTTTATCAAGATATCTGGTAGTAGGGTAGAGTACAAGAATGTCAGTAGATGCCTTTTTCAATGACCTTATTATAACATGGGATATGTAGATAGAGCACCAACTATCAATGCAGAAATTGGAATTGGTGAGCAAAATTTAAATTCCAGTCTGTGTTCCCTTTCACACAATCCCCTTGGGAAGAAACATGAATCTATATCTTTTCTTTTCATTTTGGCTATGATTTAAATAGAAGAGGAGACTGGGTTCTTAAGCCATGGTTAGCAACCAGTTTAAGAGAAGGAAAACTCTGAATTTAAATTGTGAAGAAGACAACAGGAAACCACTCACAATCTTTCATTGGAAGTTATGGCAATTCACAGGTAATAAAGAAAAGGATAGTGAGCAGAACCATAATTACTTATGTCTTGAAGGAATATGGCATAAAAAGATGCAAAATTTAAAAAAAAAATCTAGTAACTTTCTACTTTTTTTTATGCTAATGTTTGTATATGCACCCCCCACTACCAAATGTTTTG